ATCTTATCCAGGTTTGGTAGGTTACTGCCTATAAATAGAGTGTTTCAGATAGAGAAATAAGTACGAGAGCAGAAAGAAAAAACTTCATTGTAATACATAGATTCAAAATCWTATGAGAGTCGATTAGGGTTTCTTGAGAGTTTGTAATTTCTTTTTCAATAAAAGAAAAGCAGCCGCTATTTCTCTGTTTAATTGTCTTTATTTACTTTCTCTTACAAACTTCTAGTGTAAATCGTTCTACTGTTAGATCTGGGCTCACAACAAGTGGTATCAGAGCAAAATCGATTTCTTAATCGATACGATCTTTCTGATGTAGTTCGATTTTCTTGAAACAATCTCTATCTTGAACTTTTGCTGTTCGACTGTTTTTCGAACCCAGAAACTCGTCGATTCATCTTCTGCTTAACGTCTTCTCAAATTCTTTTTATAGGGATTTGTTCTTAGGATGAACTCGAACCTGTTTTGCTCTTAGATCTTTCATATCTGGGAGTTTCCTGGAAACAGTCGACTATTTTCTGCTTTGTTAGAGTCAAATCTGCGCAAAGGCGCCAAGCAAATGTTCTTGATTTTCTTAGCCTAAGGCAATTTTATGAGTTTTGTTTCATCTTCTCTTTTATTTTTGGTTTCTGAATCTGTATCAGCTTTCTATTTCTCTTGTTTGTAAACACTTAATCTTTCATGTCTATGGCAGTTTCTACTCATTTCTCGCTCTTAAAATCTTCAACAGCGGCTCAGTCAATGTTCTTGACCTGCTGTTTCTTGAAGTTAATGTGCTTCACTGTAAAAATCAACTCTCCTTATTTAATTTCTAAAAGTGTTTGTCTCTGTTTTAGCTCTAATGCTGAAATCTTACTCATCTTGCGGTTTTTGGATAGATTCATTGTCTTAAGACTGATTGCACTGTTTTGTCATGTAATCCACACACTTTTATGTCCCTTTTGGGATGATTCTGCTACTTCTGTGTGGAGCAGCAGTTATGTTCTTCAAAGTCTGTGTTGGGTTGTAAGCAGGTTAAAGCTGCACATCGTGCAATTAGTGGTGCTGAAGAGTCACGGTGAATCTAATGAGAACCAAGAGATGAAAATGAAGACCACAGAGCTACTATCAGAGGGGAGTTTGAAGTTGCAATCCCGAGCTGTCAAAATAAGAGCAAGTGGGTGTGCCGTCATCTCCCTCTGTCTAAACACACTAAAGCTTCTGCCAAGGAAGTAAAGGAGAAGAGATTAGAAGACTTCATGAAGATGATTGCTTCATAAAACTTTGAGGGGAGATTGTTAGCTTATTTCTGAAGCTAATGATAGCTTTGAAAAAGTTTTAAGAAGCAATCCAGAGCTAGAAGACGAATTGAAGAAGGTTCTGCGCCAAAAACGTCTAAAGTCTAGAAGACCAGCCTCTGTGCTAAAGAGTCTCGGATAACCAGAGCTGCTTTCAGAGACTACAGAGCTTCTGTGGAAGACCAGAGCCTTGCAGAGGCTCTGTAAGGACCAGAGTTCTTAGACTCCAAGT